GATACTGAAATAATTTTACTGACAAGGCGATTGCGACTTTGTTTGTTTACTGAGGAATGGATTATGACATATGATTCATACGCCTAATATTGAAGATTTTTCTTCAATCTTGGCACTTTTACTAATACCAATAGTGGCTCACATATCCAAAAATGTCTGATTATCTAGGCCAAAGCAGAAATTGAAGCTTACTTAAGCATATCTTTTCTTAATCAGGGATAATTCACGAATTTGGATATTTTGTAAAGATTTATCATGGAGAAGAGTTACCTGAGTAACCAGAAATTTATATGGTGGTTGAAAATTATTTTATGATAAAATATCCAGCCATATACGATATATCAGCTTAATATATTCTACTATCCTGAGAACTGGAATAAATATTACATATAGCCGTATATGAGATTAATTGGAAAAGAAAACATTTCTTAAACTTGAATTTACGTGAATTTTTTGTATTACTCTCATCCATCAGTTAAATGATCGTCTGTTGCCAGCAGTGTTTACATCATCAGCTGCCGAACTGGTGCGTCAACTCACAAGGACGGAGGAAAAGCTGGCTCATGCGGAAAATCAGATCAGAGTATTAGAGGGCCTGTTGCGAAAGCGCCAGGACCCCGAATTTCGCCAATCCGCAGAGAAGGCCAAGGCCCCAGAGAGGATGCGTAAGTGGCTGAAGTTCAAGGTCGGATGCGGTCCTTAATGCTCCGAGGAGTAACAACAACTTTAGGCCTAATCTGCAGAGTATTTTACTCGTTTTATACTTGCCAGATTTTAAGTGTAAATTCTGAATCCTCTCTAGGGAAATATACACTTGACCTGCAAGCCTTATGGCAGTTATTTTTACAATAAAATTGAATGGAGCTCACCATATGGAAGCTCTCGGATCATTCAGGAAATTCGTGGACTATAAAGAAGGGTTGTGTGTCCATTTTTGAGAAGCCCACTTCTAGACAAAATTCTATTAAATAATGCGAAAGAGCATATTTGCATCATTTGCTTACAATCATTTGCAATCAAAATCCTCTACTTTTTTAGTGAATACTTTGAATTATGTGTTGTGATATTGTGGCATTAATATGAGTTAGATTATCGTCATGTGAACACAAACCATGCTTAAAAAATTCAGACTAGAATGTATATACAATCTTCCACATATCATAAGAAAATATCTACCATGTAAGATCTTTCTGGCTAATAGTAGTGATTCCGAGACAATCGCAGTCTCTTCATGCTGCTAGGCTGCTTTGAGGAATGCTGATGCACTATTCCGACAAGCAGCGAAGACCTCTGTCCCTATTCCGCATACAGCTGTCATTTTTCGTTATCAATTCGCTCTTAATGTGCTTAATATTTCTTTCTTGTACACTGTGCACACTTTTCAGGAGCCTACTTCTGTCCAATAATCAGTACTCTTATGCTAAAAATCACACCTAGACGGGCTCTGACGCTCAAAAAAAAAGGATTCAGACAGAATCCCTGTTACTCTGATCCAATGGGATCCGTTCACCTTAAAAATTCTATCGTTATCATCATAAGCCTCAGAGCCATGTTTTTAGCATGTATTAAGCTCTGATGGAAAGTTCGCTAATTTAAAATAAGTTATGCAGTACCTGCCTACATATTTGAGTAGGAACCCTGATAGTTGACTCAGGATATAATCTACACTGAGCCTAAGAAGGATTGATTCCAGGACCCTGAAAAAGCGTTTTCTGTCTTTGTCATAGTATCACTTTCGGTGGTTTCGGAGCCGTGTAGTTTAGCGATCTTGTATGACATTAAATTCGTATGTAGAACCAAATATTTTGCTATGACTGAGCCGGCTTTTTCCTTTGTAGTCACTAACCCCCTGCAGCAAATAATTTCAATTCAGTAAATAACACTAACCGTCTTCCTACTTAATCACTAACGCTCGATAGCCTAATTTATTTAACAAAACTCTTTCCTTTTCCTCTCGATTTGATCTGGATGATTTGCCTATATTAGGGTTATGCGATTCCATATCTGGTACTGATTCAGTTACCTACTTAGACTTTTCCTAATCTAACCTCATGGAAGCGTTTTTATGAAAAACACAGTCCTTTGATTGACAGTAAAATGAAATATTTCATTGAGGTAGTGTTAGATTAGTCAAAAACACAATGAATTAAAATTAATTAAGGCAAAAGGATCCTTCAAACGCCACATCCCCGCAAGTGGCATCTAAGGGCCAATTCGATGTTTCCCTCCTGATAAAATGGGCGACAACCCAAATAATGCGGCAACTTGATACAAGAATATAAAGTATGAGAATTGGCTCTTTCTTTTTTACCCAATGGTTGTGTTTATCGACCTTTATCATTTAAGTTATTAACAATTAACCTGTAATTCCTACTTAATTCCTTTGCCCAATTGATCTTAACTTTGCTTCACTTAAAGAGATATTTAAAACAGCTTTACTAGAGGTTTATTTGCTTATATTTTCTCTCATTTTCACAACTTTTATTAGGTGCATTCTTAGGCCTCAAGCCGCCATCCTAACCAGCTTCGTCACTGAGAACAAGCGTGCTAGAGCCTAGATACATCTATTCAAAAGAACAACTGAAATTTTTTTTAACATAATGTGAATCAGTATTATTCATTTGGTTCTTTTCACTGATAATGCTAACCATGCCTCAGAAAAGCGTGTTTGAGTATGTTCAACGTGTAAGCATAAAGACAACTGACGTACCTCAAGGGACTTTCTTAGAAATTTCTTAAAAGAAAGAGCAAACCGTACGATCGAGATTAAACCATTTCTGTATAAACTGTATTTTAATAGGCTTCCAAGTAAATGACTTATGATCTTTATCTCCTCCTTTACGATCATACACCTCCCCTTGTTTATTAGACGAATATAATTTTTCACCCAAATCAAGCCTAAACATTTTCAGAATAGATGCTCCTGTGATGTGTGCGTCTTTGCAGAGCACTTAAACAACTAGATTTTTTACTTTGGTGGCGTTAGTAACATACAAAAAGTAATAAGTGATATTAAATTGAAAAATATCTGTTTACTTTATCTGTGATTCAACTCATTGCAAATATTGTCTCACCCTAATTTGTTTTAAAATGTCACTCCTAGACCTAAAATTCTTCCATTTTATAGCAGACCGTGAATATGAGGCTTCAAATAATTCGACTGCCACATATAAAATTTCTGCCTCGGAGACTGTTGCTCATTTTCAAGACAAAGAAGATCAGCTAAGCAGTCAGTCCACTGCGGTTATACTCACTCCTCCTTATTCCTCCTCGTCAGTTCCTACATCCTCGAAATCCTTTAAGCCTCAGTGTGCCAAACTTGGCCAGATTGCTACAAGGCCTATAAGCAAACAGGCTTTTGATGGCCGGTCAACTGCAAGCAATGCTCAGGACAAGCTTTTACTTAGAACGATCAGCGTTTCCAGCCGTGAAGTCCCCATAAAGACCTTCCGAGTAAATCGCAATAGTGACCAGCTGGATTGCCTGGACGGAGAGGAGCCTATAGAAGTAGGCCTCGAAATGCAGGAGATTTTTTGCGAGCCTTCAAGTACCGAGAGGCCAACTAGGAAACAAGAGAGGGAATTATGGTGAGAAGTCTCCGTAATATGTTCGAGCCAACTTATACCTTTAAACTAGCTGCAAACTAGCGTTGTAGCTATAACCTATTGACATTTAATTAAACAAGTCTTGAGTCAAAATTTTGAACTTACTTGCTAAAATTGAAACTAAGATGGTGAATTTTTCAATTAACTATTCTAAAACCTTGTCAGATTGTAATCCTCTCAACCAACTATAGGCAATTCGATCACTCGTTAATTAGGCTGGTATACAATCACATGTCCGATTCCCAACCTTTCACATGAAGGAAGCAAGTTACTATTAATTACAATTAATTTTTACTGAAGGGCAACAGTTTAATACTTATTCTAGCTCCCCATCAACGAGTCTTTTAGGATTAATTCCAGTCTTAAAATCATCAGTCTTCTACCCGAGTAGTCATGATAATTTTCAACATCTGATCTGTGACTTGGTGCACTCCCGGCATCATAGTCTGTATTGTCATTGGGAGGTGATATCTTTAACACTGAGCAACAACACATCAAAGTTAAAAAGTGGAGGTACTTTTCTTGACAGATTTTCCCTTCAACCATTCTGAGATCTTTGCTCCCATTCGTCCTTGCTTCCAGCGCTCTATCCTCATCCATAAACCCCATTTCATATGGCCAAATTACCTATCTTTACCTATCTGTGTCTTTCTTTGTTGTTATTTCGCCCAAAGATGTATCCTTTGCTCTACTGGTTTCAAATGCCGTTTGCAGGTATTCTGGAATCGAATCCATATTTAGACCTTTCAAACCAAGGCGATTAAATGACAGAAGCTGAAAAGTAGAACAAGCCATCTTTAGTACTTTCCAAATCCTCTACATACACCTTATAAAAACTCGGCTTCTGACCGAATGCTATCCGTTTATTGGACAAAGT